AACATGTTGTAGATAAAATCTATATAGTCTCGAAGTTGTGAAATCTAGGTAGAAAAGTTTCATTTTTGACCTTTCATCTAGTTTAAAAAATTCAGTATAAAAAAAAAAAATTCTCCTCTGAAATTTAAACAGTCCACAAAAGTTTTACCTTCTTTTCTTACACACTTTTATGACAATAAAGATCTTTCAAAGTTTTTAGCTCTTCAATTAGAGTTTTGTTCTGATTTTCCAGGACCGCCACTCGGTTTTCCAGACACTTAACATACTCCTTCTTCTTCCTACGGCACTCTCGAGCGGCTTCTCTGGAACAGAAAGCAGAAGTCATTGTTTATTTAGAGGTGAGAGGTGTCTGTTTTGTGAATGTTGTGGTTCTGACCAGCGTGAGAGGAGAGAGCTGGCGCGGCAGCCCCCGCAAACCCAACCGAGGGGCGGAGAGCACGACAGTTACCAGCATCTGGTAACACGCGTCGTGGTCAATCTGCAGGGAAAACCAAGCTGTTTTCTCCCAGCTGTGAGGCAGGAGGTGGAGCAGGGTTTGGTCAGCGATTCCCACGTTTTCAGCCGCTGGACGCAGCACAGCACCCTGACGGCACAACAGCGCAGCCGCCTCACAGGACTCGTCATTTCTCCTCTGAAGAAGGATTTTGGGGGTAAAACGAGCCGATCAGAGCAGCCCGCGCGCACTCACATACCTGTTCTTCATCAGCCTGATTTCTCGTTTCAACTGCGGATCATCTGTCTTGCTCGTCTGTGATGTCAGAGTGACAGGAGACGTCATCACCACGGTCTGAGGAAGGGACGTGGTGGTTGGCGTGGTGCGGATCTGGTAAGTCTGCATGTCCCCCGACGCAGCTGTTGCGACAAGAGCACAAGACCCCAAGCGGTGGCAGCGTTAGGGAGCTACACCGGGCTGCCGGGCGGGTGTTTGTAACCCCCTCCGAAGGCGTACTCACTCTGCACTACCACCTGGTTGCTGGGGACGAGGATCTGTTGGCCATCGGACGTCTGTGCGTACTGCAGGATGGTTGTCCCGGGCTGGGCGCCGCCAGCGTTGGTCATCGTTAGCGTCTGCAGGCCTTGCACGCCGTCCGCCCCCGGGCTGGCCAGCTGTAGCCCGTTTGCAGCAATGGCAACTGGAAGGAAAAGCAACGGGCACCAGGCTGTTGGCAGCCGTACGCGCTGACACACCGCTGCAGGTAAACCCGCAGGCTGGACGTGCTCTCCCGCTGCTGGAAGTCACGGCCGGTTTGGAAAGGCCTTTCTCTTCTGGCACTTCCAACTCTCAGACCTTGCTGCTGGGTTCCCACCTAAGGGGTGTGAGGGGCGAGGTGTTGGCAGCGGGGGGAGCCTCCGAGAGAGGAGGCCTGGGAGTGCCCCGTGCCGGACACCAGCTCCACAGGGACCCGCAGCTGGTGGCTCCTCTGGGGAAAGGTACTTTCCAAAGAAAGGGCAAAAATCCAGACAGGCAGAGGAGCGTGTGGGGGCGTAAGGAAGGGCAGCACGAACGCCCAGCGCAGAGAGGGACGGGAGGAGGTGCGCCAGGTGCCGGTTGCTTTTTGGTTCACAAGCACAACGAATTCTAGGTGATAAAATCAAAGGAACAAATCCCCCTCCTTCTACCTCCCCGATACCACAGGGCCCTAGGATGTACGTGTATCCTACGACGCGTGTAACAGTACTTTCACTGCTCTTAACACTTTGGACTAAACCTAACACTAGGAGACTGCTACGTGTTTCGTAACAACACCCTTTGAATGTCTTCATATGCAAAAATTAAGATAATGAAGCACTGAGCTTATCTGGAGCCTTTACATAGCAGCCTATTTCCATGTAATAACAGTACTGACTTTATTGACCGTTAGATAAATAACCAAACCTTTTGAGTTTCATCTTAGTCAAATACGTAACGCAAAGAAAAATCTGTATTTTGAGGCAAGTTGAATAAAAAACGTGTCCGGTTAGGGGCACGTTTTGTGTAACGTACTGTATTGTCCAGTGCTCGTCTGGTAGATAGGCGTGGGAACGGACATAGACGTAACAGTAGAGACACCAGGACTCTCCTCATCTCCTTTTCTGTCACGTGTATCCTCAGAAGAGAGATCTTTCAAAATTTTCCTATAAAAAAAGCTTCTTTTATCAGCTCTAATGGCAGGCAAAAACTACAAATTACTGCAACAGCTACAAACTACTACCCCTACTTTGTACCACAGAAATAAACACCAAAAAATTACGTACAAGTTTTTGGAATTAACAGAATTTGTACGAGTGACTGCTTCAAACTTTCCGTAACTTCATTTCTGTAGTTTATATAGTCTAGTTTTTTACTTAAATATTTGAATCTTTTTTAGGAGCTAAGAGCAATTCTAGACAGCTACTAACTTTGAAGTATGGGTACGTGCAAATGGGCACCAATTCCAGATTTTCAATGATTACCCTCTAAAAGCTGTAGACGTTCGGACTGGTAAGCTGCAATGAAAACCTGCAGCATTTACAGCAGGTTCTGGTAGTCTCCAGAAAAACGGTGTGCCAAAAACCAGTCCTGCAGCTGCATCACTTCATTTCAGTAAAAGCAGCACCAGCGTTTCCATCATAAACATTTTCCGGGGACACACAACTGGCCTGTTAAGAGATTTTTCTGATTTACAGCTCGATCCTCTACCTCTCTCAAGAACAGCCTTTGCACACCCAACTGAAACCAGTTTGCTCTGTCCGGTGTCAGAATAAACTAAAAAGGAGTAGATCACTACAGAAAACTTTAAAACTTTAGATTTTTTGCTCCTTCAGTACGCTACAGCCCTCAGTTTGCTTTGACTACACCCCTCATTTCAGTGAAACGAACTGAGTGAAATTACAGCTGATACACGATTTTCC